AGAGAGGACTAGAGAAGAAGATTGAAACCACAGAATATTTGTAGTTCATTGTCTGCTTGATTATCTGCTTTAATTTCTAATCATTTCAGCAAAGAAATGGATACCAGATGACTGTCAGTTTTCTAGGGGTTGACTGGGAAAGAAAGATTATTAAGATGGGAACTGCACACCCTGCCACATATATCATGATCTAGAATATTCTTGTGAATGTGTAACACTTAACGTGCCGACAGCAGTTTCTTCTATGGGATAACTTTTTTTTTTTTTTAAACATTTTTGTCGACATTTCTTTGTTTTGAAAGAGAGATGCACTTGAAATATACTATTATGTATTTGTCACAGATGGCTTGAGTTCATTTATTACATTTTTTATGTCTTTTCTGTGAAAGATTGTTCTTCTTCTTTGCATTCACCAGCTGTAAACTCTGGTTGTTTGGTCATTTATGGATGATATGTCATGTTTCATTACTGAAGTTTTGCATGCACATCCATTTTACAGATCTGGCTTATTTGTATGCAGACTGCAATTTAAAAAAAAAGTCATGCTTCGGTCGGATTTGAATCCATGACCTTTGCATCCGCAGGAGAGCTGCTAGCTGCTATGGCAGCTCCCAATATAAGGTACAATGCTGCCGAAAAGAAGTGGAATTGAGAACAGGCATCAGAGCACTCCGGACATTCCAATAAGCGCTACATCCCCATCCTTGGTAGCCATCAAAGCGTAGCAATTCCAGTAGCACCGTTAACAAACAGTCGGATTGTATATCCGTCTTACCTTTCTCACGAGTATTGGGCCAGACCTTCTGGTCACTCTCTGTTGCATCAATCTCTTCAGAAGACAGTGATGATCTGTATTTGCCTCTGCAATCTTCACTTTCTCCCAACGGGTCTTGACTACATTTAGCTTTCTTGCATCAGTTTACAAATTCTGCGTCAGCTACCACTCCTCCCCCCCCCCCCCCCCCCCCCCCCGCCTCCTTTTAACCTAGCATATGACACTGCCAGTCAGCACAAAGAAACATCCCATACAATGCATTTTCACTCCCACCATATGCTACCAGTGGCAGACATGGTCATTCACAAGAAACCAGAAAAGAAAATTAGTAAACATAGAAATGAGATGTCTAAGGCTACAGGAGTGACTAAAAGAAGAATCAGGAATTGTGTCATAAAAGAAAGAAAATATCAGCACAAAACCAATTCTAAATTACTTGCAATAACAGAAAATCGAATAGTCTGCTCGCTTAGAATACCTTTTGATGCCATACCATATAAGGCATACACTAAAACATGAGAAGGATGTAAAGCACAAAATAGATTAAGAATAAGACGGAAAGAAAACATCAGAGAAACAGCAAGATGTGTCCATGGCTGGGGCGGCCAGAAGAGCAAAAAGCAAAACTTTATATCTCCCTCGACACCTGAAGCTGTAAAATAGGGAGTGAAGAAGACAAAGAAGAAAAGACTTTACCTCCAAATGCTGAAAGACGTAAAGAAAGTTAAGAAATTTTAATCACATCATTAATGTCTATCTACTTACTATTATAATGAAAAGAAATATTGAATGTAAATGAACTAGAAGGCTGTAAAGATAGTGATGAAAAGACACATCAAAATATCAAGTAACAACCTAGAAAATGTACGATAGTTCAAGGCAGAAGAAAAACAAAAAAATGTCTTTCTCCTCAGTCCATATTCTGTGACATGCTGCATGATCCATGGAATGTTCCAATGAATCTATCTAAAGTGCATTTCAAAAGTCGTCCTCTCCCACTTTTAACAAATAGCTCAAAAACCCCTGTACGGATCAAGAATAATTGTTTCATATGGCCTTAGATTTCCTATGTCCTTAGATTTCCCATGCTTTTATGATTTTATAATTTACAGTTGCACAGGTGCTGCTATTTCCTTAAAGCGGTGATTTTCTATGATCTTTGTTTGACTAATAATTTGCGTACCCCTAAAATTAGAATATACGGTGACACACGCATGAAGATTGATTAGAAATCTTTTCACATGTGCAGTGATACATGGTGATTAGTTGGTAGCCTATCCTGCATACAATGAAAACTTGTGTTCATCTAATTCACTGGAGTCTAATGCTGGAGATGACCGCCTGAGAGTGAAATGTCTATGAAAAGTTTACTGTAAGCATGCTGACTGTTTGCTTTGAATCTGTTTTTTTCATATACGGTAAATAAAAGTAAAGGACCCTTTACCACCCCTTTAGTAGAGGGCATATAGGGCTAGACCTATATTTTATAGACCAATCGCTACAAGGTGGGTGATATGGTCAGCATCACACCGGCCACCTTTACTTCCCTGCACCCGGTACCCACTCAAGGCTGGGTTGACCTGGGAGTCAAGGTCATTTTTTTTAAAGTCCGGCTCCGCCAGGGAGGGAACCCACAACCTTCCAATCCGCAAATAAAAACATTATGTTTGTTTCCATTTAACAAAAAAATCTTATAAGGACATAATTATTAAAAGGTTGCATGCCAAATTTCAACAACTTACACCTAACGGTTACTGAGTTATACATTTTTAAAGCTAGGCAGGTTTCTGAAGCAGACTATAACACTTGTATCATTCATGTTTCCGTGAATTCAACTAAATACTCGTGTGGGTTTCGGGACCCTATTATAGGAAAAACAAGAATAGACCCACTGCCTACCCAAAAGCATGTCGTAAGAGTCGACTAATTGCATCTGCCTGAGGGGTAAGGAACCAACAGTCTGTACACAAATGTGTCAGATCTGTCGAACGGATTCACACGCAACACTCAGGTTCTGGAACAGGACTGCAGTCCAGAAGGGGACGAACAGCCAGAACTTTTCACCAAAGTTTACAGCTGGTGAACGCAAAAAAGAAGAAGATCTAAATACTCATATGATGGCACGTCTCGCTGATGTATATGTTCTTACGGTAGTAGCTGCTAACCCAGGATCTTCTACTCATAATTCATCATAATGAAGGTCATCAGGGACTTGCTATCCTTTTTCTGTGACCTGGTCATGTCAGCCTTAATGACAAGAGCACTTAGGAAAAAAAAAATTATCAACTCATGCTCTTTCTAATACTTAGATGTTTAATTTACTGAACACAGAAATAGATATACATAATTGTCCTAAATAAATAATTACATGATCTATAAAATAACCAACATATACACTGAGAGCTCGATGAACAGGATGTTTGTGTGAAAACTACTACTACTACTGGTTGCACACTTATTTCAACATGTTCCACATTTTCTTCCCATTATCTATGGATTACACTTAGAAGATCTGAATGAATACCACACCAGCAGCTGATCCACTCCAAACTGTCATATGAAGGTTTAAAAATTCATGTGACTCATAGAGGCACATCTGGGACACCAGTCCATCAGGGCAAATCCTAAATACACTGTTCAATCTCCCAAGATATTATATTTAGGACATCCATAGCTATTCAAGAATATTACAATGGATGATTTCAAGAAAAGTGATAAAATAAAATAGACTCGTGGACAACTGCTGGTATCATTCGTTTTAAAGCAAAGAAGATATATCTCTGGTGGTTGGAAATTGAAAGGAGTAGATTAACTGCTCTGCCGGGACAACATTTTGAGTTAATATTCTACCCAAAGTATTTAAGGATCCTTGCCGGTGCAACAGAGTTTGTGCACTGCGCTGGGATTCTTCAGACTCAGAACTGAGTTAGAAGTAGAACGGAGCACTTATGGGTTACAAGCGCACGCCATGATGTTGATACGTCGAATAAACATAAACATCTCTGGAAAGTCGTGAGGTAAAACTGTCAGAGAATAACCAAGAAGGCACTGAAATGGGACACAGTTATGTTGAGGAAACGACTGAATAGAATGGATGAATAGACTGTAAGCCCTTGGTGATGTATAAATAGCACATTATTGTGAATATGAAACAGGCACATCAAGGCAGGCATGCCGACACAAAGAAAACATGGGGAAATGGTGGCGACAGCGCCTCAGCTCATGGGCTCTGTCACAGAGACAACCATTCCCGAAAATTTTTTAAGGAGTGGTTGACGCAATCCTTGTTTATTTGACTAATAATAATAATAATAATAATAATACACTGAATAGCAAATTAAAAAATATATATATATTTGAAATAATATATATATTTGAAATAATATGAAATGTATAATCAAATGCTTAAACTTCCCGCGTGGGTTCCAACCTAATTGTATCTGTGAGTGAAAAAAGAATAGAGTCACTGTCCTCTCTCCCCAACAAGGTTTTGTCATAGAGCTACTGTCCTCCCTCCCCAACAAGTTTTTGTCATAGAGCCACAGTCCTCCCTCCCCAACAAGGTTTTGTCATAGAGCCACAGTCCTCCCTCCCCAACAAGGTTTTGTCATTAAGCCACAGTCCTCCCTCCCCAACAAGCGTTTGTCTTAAAAGTTGACTAGCTAGGGGCGTTTCCTTCGAAGTCGCAGTGCATCTGCAAGGAACCAACAGGCTGCATACAAATAAGCCAAATCTGTAAAGCGTATGTGCGCGCAAAACTCAAGATCTAGAACAAGACGAAAGGTCAGAGGTGGGCGGACAACCAGAACCTTCTACCTTAGTTTACAGCCGGTGAATTCGAAGAAGAAATAGAAATGCTTAAAAAGAGAACGTTTGTGTATGTTGAGGGAAGAGAATTATCGGCTTAAGGCTGCTCCATAAAAATTACTGGGGGGGGGGGTGTAACACCTCTATACACATTTTTAGTGGGGGGGGGGTTCTCAAGGTGCCGGAACCTCTAGATTCCGGCGTCTATGCCCTAAATTCTACCCTGAGGTATTATTTCAATTAAGGCGGGTAACGATTAGCACCGCGCCAATACTGTACCAGACAAGCAGACGTGTCGGCACAGGTTACAGGAGGACAGAGAGAAGTCAACTGGCATTATTGCCCCTGAGTTTTCTGTGAATTGTTTCCCTTCGAAACCAACGACGCATGCGTCGCCATTGTTTGCATTCCAAACAACATGGCTTCAAGCAAAGTTCTGGAAGATTTAGATCTCAGTACAGACGAAGTCAAACGGCTCGGGGAAGCGCTCAAAGATGAAACATTCAGGAAAATGCTGGTCGAGTACGCCGAGGAGATATCCAATCCGGAAAACAGGCGCAAGGCGGAGGAGGAAATTGCAATTATGGAGAACGAAAGAGGAATGAGTGTTCAATTCATTCATCCAGAACCCGGGTATGTTTTGAAAACTACTGTTGATGGCAGCAAAAAAGCGTTCATAAATATTTGTCAGAATGATAAAATAGAGAAGCCGAAAGCTAAAAAGCAAATTGGGCCTGATGGGAAAAAAGGCGTCATGTGGCAAATTCCGCATTCGTTTGCACCCCCTAGAGATGATTATGATAAAAATCATCAAGTATGTTCAGTGTTTGATGTTGTCTTCCACCCTGACACATATCGGATGGCGATGAGTAATGAAAGATTTAAAAAGCTCGTAGAAGACACGGCTGTTGATGGGATCGAGAGCCAGTTTGGAGTTAAGTTGGACAAGAAAAATATTAGGCATCCTAAACTCAAGTTCAAAGGAATTCCCCAAGCAACAGTAATTCGAGAACGGTTGGATCAGAAGGCTTCTAACGACACACCTCCAGATACTTCAGAACAGGATGATATTTTGAGTAAGATGCCTTATCCTTATGATAACAAAACATCAGCAGAGAAGTCAAGTGAAAATCAGCATAAACATGCAAAGAACACAAAGTCTGATAACAGTGCTAACTCTGATAGCTGCAAGTTTACAGTTCCAAAGTATACTATTACCCATCGTTCAGAAGTTGATATGAGCGAATACCGTAATGCCGCAGATGCAAAAACTTCTACCTGTCCAAAAGAACTAGTTATAAAAATTGAACTTCCTTTGTTAAATTCTGCAGCTCAGGCAAGTCTGGACATCTTTGAAAAAAAATTAATTTTGGAATCTGTATCTCCCGCTGCCTACAAACTTGACCTATCCCTACCTTACCAGGTCAATGAAGATGAAGGGTCTGCCAAATTTGACAAGTCTAAAAGAACTTTAACTGTAACACTTCCTGTGGTTCCACCTAAAACTCCACCATTGCCTTTCAGTGGCAACAGTGAAAATTACTTTAGTGAAACTAACATTCCTGTTGTAGAAGATCTATCTGCTGATGTAACTGCTGACAGTCCTACTATAGACAATACACCTCAAAGCCTGGTTCAAGATAGTCAGGTTAGATCTAATGGCACTGGCAGTTTACAAAATGGTGACATTGAATGTGATAACAAATTGACCTTTCCTAACAACATCCATTGGATATTGCCAAACTATCAGTTTTCTCAAGATAATGAGACTGTTTCGTTTGTCATTAATGTGAAAAATGTTGAGCAAAGAACTGTGGAAATGGTGTTCCCTCAGAGCTGTGCAGCTGTGGTTCAGTTTGTGTCTATTGGAGCCGGGTGTTTTCCTGTTTACTATAGACTTTGTGTGCAGTTTCCTGATGCCTGCAAGATCTCCGAACATTGTAGTGTTGATGTCAGTGACAGTAATCTTGTTTTTGTTATTCTGAAAGACAAAACATGCAGAGGACTATGGGATAGTTTCAGTATAGGCGTTGATGAGCATCAGCTGGAGGTAAGTTAATAATTTCGACCTTTTCACCCCTCCCCATGTTTGATGTTTTTTGTGTGTTAAACATAATCATTTTGCACTTTTTTACAGTTTGGCTGCATAATTGTGTGCCTTTTGGCTGATAAATTCATATTTTCCGGAATGTATTAACCAGGCCAGCCTTACTAGCGTCTTAGTCTTTACCCCTGTTTACCATTTTTTAGGGTGTGTAGTAGTCTTCTTTGGTGAATTAAATATGGGTTGAAGTCGAGGCCGACCTCTGCTATGATATAAAGATGTGTGCAAGCGTTACATGGCTGATACAGGTATTGAGGTGGAATCGCAGGGAACAAAATGCCATAGAATGTATTGTGTGGACGGGGCACATCAGGAAAGGAAATGAGAATGAAGGAAGAAAGGATCAGAGCTAAGCGTCTGAAAAGAAACAGAGGAAACACAGATGTTGAAAACAATGGTCCTGAAATCCCATGCTATAACTGTGTAAGGCTTAACACGGCCAGGTCTTGCTTGTCACACCCGCCATTGACATGGGCTGTAAGTCCCATGTCTCCTCAAAGCACAGTATAACACTATCTCTGGACAGATGGAAAGGTGAGAATAAATCACCGGAGTCTTGAGCCTGAGGATTTACGGCTATGACTAGTGCAGTCACCATGGACTACAGGTTATGATTTTCATCTACCTCCCATTTTTGCAGACAGAAAAAAAACATTTACCAGCTATCTTGGTATTCAGCGTATATTTATTGTTGTGTCAGTTTGGTATGTTTTCTAATAATCTGTACATAGTCTTACAATGGCTTTGTAATAAAAGTAAGGAAACCTATTAATGCCAGTGACTCATGGAGCAAATGATGCTTAAATCATAATTTTATAGATCAATCGGCACACAGTGGGTGATCTGGGTAGCATTACACCTGCTTTCTTTATTTTCAAGGACATGTCCCACTACCCATTTTTGGCTGTCAACCAGAGAGGGTTCATGCTGTGTGCTTAATTCTTTGTTTCTCAAGTCTCTGGTTTACAGTAGTAACACTCTAGAATGGAAAGGGTTTAAAGTATTGCCCATCGATAAAAAAGCACAGACAAGGCTTCAAGAATCCCTCGGAACTCTAGAGAGGTGGTCCAATAGCTGGTACATGCCTGTAAATGGGGCCAAAACCACACACACCATTTTCAGTCTCTCTTCCAAACCCAAGAAAGTTTCACTTAGATATGGCAGCCAGGCACTGATACATGATGACTCGCCGTCATATTTAGGAGTAACCTTTGACTCAAGACTCACATGGAGAAAACAGATAGAAAAGACACAGAGCAAGGGACTCAAGAGAACACAACTGATGAGGAAGTTAGCTGGAACAGACTGGGGGGCAAACCTCAGTGTCCTTAAGAGGACCTATACAGGCTATGTGAGGCCAACACTAGAATATGGAATAGCTGCTTGGGGCACAGCAGCTAAATCAAATTTTCAGAAAGTCTCAAAGATCCAAAACCATGCTCTCCGTATTATGACAGGGGCAATGCGCTCCACGCCCATATCAGATATGGAAACAATTACTGGTCTCCAAAATCTGGAAGATAGGAGAGACACAAAGATCCTCACCCAGCTCTCCAAATACCACCACTTTCAAGAACAACCCATGTACAGCCGACTGCAGAAACCCCAGAAGGCTAGACTAAAGAGAACTTGCTTTATTAAGAACGTAAATGCCAAGCTCGCTGTCCTTAAACTCCCTCCCATAATACCAAATGTTCCACTTAAACCTTACAACGACTGCCCCGCTTGGCTTAGGGATAGCCTACCAACAGTCAGAACCACTGTAACAGGGGTCTCCTCCAAATCATCAATGAGCAGCACTGATATGAAATCAACTACAGAACGAGAGATCAATAGACTTTACCCACACCAGAGTTGGATTCGAGTGTATACAGATGGTTCAGCCAAGAGAGCAGTAAGAGACGGAGGAGGAGGAATATACATAGAATGCCCATATGGTTTTAAAATCAACCAGGCTGTACCAACAGGTTCATATTCCTCCAATTACAGAGCAGAGGCAGAAGCACTTCTAGCCGCATGTTTTTTCCTGAATGGACAACAGCACAGCAAATGTAGCAGAGTGGTCTTTCTGACTGATGCTATGTCAGTTCTACAAGCAATTGTTAACCCAAAAGACACTCAGTTTGTAGACTTGACGCAACAGCTGATTTACTTAGGCTCTTCAGTAGAACAATCTGTACTGCAGTGGATTCCAGGTCACTGTGGCTTGGAAGGCATTGAAATAGCGGACAGATTGGCCAGAAGCGGCAGTGACATGGTACAACCAAATAGCGACTTAACCCATCAAGAGAAGAAAACACTAATACAATCTAGTATCCAAGAAAGGTGGCTGGATACCCACAACAGATTTTCTCCCCAAGACTCACTTCATCGCCTCTCTAGAGAGGGACAGTCAATTATATTCAGACTAAGGACAGGGCACAACAGATTTCGTCAACATATGTTCAAATTTTTCGGTGTAGGAAATACGGAGACGTGTCCCTGCAGCGTGGCACCCGAAAATGCTGAGCATGTGCTCCAACACTGTCAACTGTATGCTGACAACAGAGACGCAATCTGGCCTGTTCCAACCACAATGAAGACAAAACTGTATGGTACACGAGAGGATATGGATTGCACGATAGCTTTCATAAAGGCTACCGGCCTCCTGATATAAGTTTTCTGACAGAAGGATCGAAGAAGAAGAGACTGGAGTTGTTTTAAAGACCTCTGGGAGATTTGATGAGTTTTAGCTTCAGTTTGCTGTGTTAACACTGAGGTTTTGTGAGCCAGAAAGGGATTTGCATATAATCAGGGTGAGCCTGGTATAGTGACTTTCCACCCAGTGTGGTAGCAGAATACATTCTCACGGCAAAAGATATCCATCCCGACAAGAAGTAGAACTAGACAGCTTCACAATAACAATCAAAGATGGCAGAATGAAGGTTGTGGCTAGAAAACCCTTAGCAGCAGATGGCACAAATGAACAGTGACACATTTACAAATTAGAATATATAAAATTAGAATGTCTACTTGGGCCAAGTTGGGATAACAAATCAAATTGTTTTCCTTTGTGACTGCATGTCAGTGCTCCAGGTAACTCAGAGGGATGCATGAGACAACATGGAGAGAGAACTGACCCGCCAGCTAAACAGACTTACAGAAAACAATCAAATCGTTCTCCAGTGGATACTGGCTTACTGCCGCATACCCGGAAATGAGTAAGCAGACAGACTTTCGAAAAATGGAACAAAGAAGAAAACAACACATCCATCCATTGTCATTACCAGAAATCAGAACACGTAACAAGGAAAAATACAAGGAATTGTGAAGAGAACAAACTAACAGTAAACATCCACAAGTCCCTATCAGCAGACTCAACAGAAAACAACATACAACAATTTTCTGTCTACGAACAGGTCACTGCAGGCTCAGCTACCACATGCATAAATTAAAGATTGTACAGTCCCCACAGTGTACCTGTTAAACAGGACCACAAACACCTGAACACATTTTGCAGACCTGCCCACTCTAGTTACAACTTTGAAAAGACACCTGGCCTCAAGAGCAAGGTGTGCAGAGCAAGCTATGGGGAACCATGAAGGACCTGCTACTGACATGCGAGTTCATAGAGGCAACCCACCTGATGGTCTGATCTGAGCATACGAAACCGAACGCAAGGAAGAAGAACAAGAAGTATTTTCAAATCTGTTACCATCACATGTGTATTTAGCTTCTTCTCAGACTTGTCTGCAATCATTTTTTCATATATTCCAATTTCCTTCCTGATTTTTGCCCTCCACGCAACACAGTCCATGGCATTTTGTTCCCCCGAGTCTACCTAAATACCTCTGTCACTCATCTCCTGCTTGCCCATATATTTATATCATAGCCTAAATAATATATAGACTTAGAGGATGTCCTTAAACCCTCTACCATCTCTATTCTCCAAGTGCTGCCTAGACACTGACTGGAGCCTTTAGAGACTAAGCATTAAGAAAACAGTTGTGATACTTGCTCTTTATGATACCTCAATGTTTATGATCTTGTCTTGCTATTTGATGACAGGTATTCTTAGACATCACATGTGAAAGCTATTTAGCCATTTCTTCTGGTGTGAATTAGTTAACCTCTGTGGTAAAGAAGAGTGCTTAGAACACAAGTCTGATAAATAAGAGTTTTTGTTTGATTCATTAATCAGTGCTACACAGCTTGGACTATAAGAAGAAGGAGACATTTCTGTGCACTCATCATTAAAAAGGCAGTTGGCACATTGGTTGTTGTTTACAGCTAGGCTGAGATGTCTGCATCTTTAAGCCCAACACGTCCGATTTTAGTAAATCCCCAAGTTTTCGCCTTTTATGACATGCTTATCAGGGCGCAGTGTGTGTAACCATTCCCCCCCCAACTCCAAAAAGGGCCCCGGAACTCACTTGGGTACAAGGGAAGACTATTCAAAAGCTTCTGATGAGTTAGATTATCAGGTATCTTTGCATACACAGAAACAATCTCAGAATCATGTTAAAAAGTAATTGTGTTGGGAACACAGTCTGCCTTGGTGAATTCAGAGCAGTTGAAAAACAGTATTAAAGATAGACTTAATTTATCCGTTTAACACACTCATAAGATGGAGTGAACGTGGTGTAACTGCTAGACGCTTGCCTGCGTATCGGAAGGTCGTGGGTTCGGGTCGTCACGGAGCCGGACTTTTTTCAAAAATGACATTGGCTCCCAGGTCGACTCAGCATTGAGTAGGTACCAGGTGTAGTCCTGAGAAGTAAAGGCGGCTGGCGTGATGCTGATCACATCACCCACCAAGTGGCGATTGGTCTGTAAAATATAGGTCTAGCCCTGTATATGTCCAATACGTCAGAAGGCGTTGAAAAAATCCTTTACTTTACATATTCGTAAAGCCACTACTGAGAAACATTAAATATTGAGATGGGTAAATGTGAACAGAATACAAA